AGGGGCGGGGTAGAGAAGTGGGAGGTGGGCTTTTAGGCAGCAAAGGAAAGAGGCCAAAGTTGCCATTTTGCTGCTGAGCGCCAAGAGAGAAAGACGGCGTATATTTCTCCGTGGGACACTACTCATATTGGCAAGTTTTCCTTGGATGATATTAGTTTGTAGCCTCCCCCTTACTTCTTCTTCCCCAGCCTAATCTGAGGGCCATATACAGTCTTCTGCAAAAGGAAAAAGGTTGCCTTTAAAGTTCAGTCTTGGGCTGGTATGGCTGGACTTAAGAGTACAACTCTGAAAACCCTCTTGGAGTTGATCTCAGAGTTGGCAGGACTTTGGAAATGAGAGGAATGGTAGAGTATTTGGGGGGATGGGGGATGGAGATGTTCAAACTCTAACTACAGCTTGACTTCTTAAGGTCTTTTCATTTTTCAGAATGAAATTAATGTGCCTCCAGAAATCCAAAGGGACCTAAACAAATTTATGAAAGGGTTTTGTACTTTTCTCACTCAAATTCTTCAATAGGAGTAACAGTCATAATTATTGAGCGCTGTGGGTGTAGGGGAGCCTACATGCTCAGAATTTTCAGTTTTGGAGCACTTAATGAAACACAGAAATAGATGTGGCTAAAGACCATAAAACTCTTCCTGGGAATACTTTCCATCGTCTGTCTACAAGAGCTACAGGTTAGTGGCTGCTCTAGAAACTAGAATGGAGGCACATTTATACTCCATTACCAACCAGCGTGGGAAGTGGCCCCTGAATGCGTGGGGGAACTTGTTAACACAGATGTACATTTGTTGTTCTGCCTCTTCAAAGCCAGCAGAAAGCTGTGCTATACTGGCTTGGAGCCAGAAGACCATGGCTCACATCTGGGAGATTCATTGAACCTCCCAGCCTGTCTCCCTACCTGGTCATGGGGGTTGATAATGCCTACTTCACTGGTTCCCAAGCATCCATCTGTGTTCTAACAGTTACAGCCCCAGATGAAGTTTTCAGCAGTCTGTGACAAAAATGTGACAGTGATGAAGTAAACAATGTAGCAAACTTTCTAACCAAGTTAAATGTGTCCAAGTTATAGACCTATTGAGTTTTTATTATAATAGATTCTAACCCAATATGAATGTCTTTTATTCTGAATTTATGTCCTTTGTTTTTATAGTATTAATATTAAAAATCCCCTTTTATGAAATGATGATGAGAACAGACTGTAGTCATAGTAATTTAATAGGTTTCTTCTTTTTATGTCCTTGTTTGACAAAATAAGGAGTTGGCAGCCTTATGTTGGTCACCCTATTTTGTTGTTGTTATTATACTAGTCCGTGAAATCTAAGTCTGAGAGCCACTGGCCTCGTTCACAGCTTATTATGAGGACTGAAATAAGATATGTGAATTGCACCATTTATAAACAGATAAGGGATACCCAAACATAAGGTGATATTTTAATCATTACCTTTAGCCATAATTGTCTGGTGGGATGTGCCCAAGAATATATGGATGTCATGGGTTGGAGGCTCCACTGGTTTATTTTCCATCAATAATAGACATGTTCACTAAATTTTCACAAGCAATTCAATTATCTCTTTGAAGAAGATGAGAAAAATATTCTTCCTTCGGTTTAGATTTCTCCCTGCTCCAGTGGAACACCTTGCTACTCTGATCTGACTTCCTCTAAATTTTCATTGCTAGAAGTCAGGAACCCAATGCACTTTCCCTTAGCACCTCTAAAGCTTCTTGCCTTAAGAGCATAGTTGGCTTGTTTCAATTACTAGGGGGTTGGAAAGATTTTGTCCTAAATTAGTTTCTTTCCCTCAATTATCACAAGAAACTTTATAACTGAACATTTAAAAAAATCACATTCAGCTGGGCACGGTGGCTCACGCCTGTAATCCTAGCACTCTGGGAGGCCGAGGCGGGCAGATCGTTCTGAGCTCAGGAGTTCGAGACCAGCCTGAGCAAGAGCGAGACCCTGTCTCTATTAAAAAATAGAAAGAAATTGGCCAAACAACTAAAAATAGAAAAAAAAAATTAGCCGGGCATGCCTGTAGTCCCAGCTACCTGGGAGGCTGAGGCAGGAGGATCGCTTGAGCCCAGGAGTTTGAGGTTGCTGTGAGCTAGGCTGGCGCCACGGCACTCACCCCAGGCAAGAGAGTGAGACTCTGTCTCAAAAAAAAAAGAAAAAAATCACATTCAAACAATCCTAGCATTGCAGGATGAGCGTGGAAGGACACAGCCTTGTCTGGCTTTAGCTTAGAAATTACTAATGGGATGGTCAGGAGGGACTTCTTATGTCATGAACATGTAGCAAGATACTCGTGTGTCAAAAACTATTGCCCTTACAGTTTATATCTTTGATTTTATATAAAATAAGCAGCTTTATGTCTCAAAACAGCTAGTTTTGGAGTGATTTACTATCCTTTTTGGTATTTACTATTTTTCCAAGTTTTTAGTCTCCCCACTGCTAGCTACAGCAAGAGGACTGGAATTCCCTGAACTCTAAGTAATGCTGGTATTACATGCCCTCAGGGATTGAGAATTTCAGATTTTAAAATGGTTAAGACCAGTCCCATCCACCGGTATCTATGAAGCTCCCACTCTGTGAAGGGATTTGTCCTATGTTGTGATGGTTCCCAGGGGATGAAGTCAAAATAGTTCCCTTTTTCCAAGAGCTTTTGATCCTAAAGGGGGAAATAAGACCAGTTGACGTATAGTGCTGAGAGCTGTGCTCCCCACCCATGTTCATGTGGGTACATGAGTGAAATATATGCAGAAACTCCAAAGGACTAATATAGTACAGTACAAATAAGGCTGTCAAAACTGAATTGATATATCAGTGGAGGAGAGATATTAGTAAGACAGTAAGATTAAGCAAGATATTAATAAGTGAGATATTAGATTTAGAGTTCATTAAAGCCAGATTTGATTGTATAGGAGTAAATTACACAAATTGTTGTTTTCACATAAAATTTAGGTTGAACTGTTTGATAAGAAATGAACTTTATCCTGGCTCTGCCACCAATGGGCTATATGCTTGAGCTTCTTACCTGATTGTGATGTTTCTCACCTGTTTTCCAGAAGGCAATGGGAATGGTTGCCACCCTTTGCAGAGCAGGCACTAAATTTAACTACAGTCTGAGGAGTGTTAAGAGCAGATGCATGCGGCTAGTATTCTGGGCTGCTGGTTCTGAGTAGAGGACCCCCTCTTATTCTCAATCCCCGATTCCTACAAGAACTGTTCCCAATGCCACATTCATCCCTGGGGATGCCCCTGCTGCTCTCACCTCCCCAGGAGAAGAGAAGCTACTGTAGGATACCCTAATTAATTGGAAGTTTCTGGGTTCCCAAGAGGAGGAATGGCCTCTGCTCGCCAACAAGCAGATGGCGTTTGTGTATGCCCTGAGAGCACAGGCTGGGCATCGCCCACGCCTGCAATTAGTGTCCTGCCACTTGGTACTATCTGGCCAGGCTCCAAATAACAAGGTTAGAAGTAGGCTTTAAAATGCCATTTTGTTTTCCCTCTCTAAAGATGAAAATCACACCTAATTTAAGATACCACTTTTCTTCACTCTTTCAAGTGTTTAACAAATATCACTGTCATTAAAAATGGTGGTCCCATGGGCTCCCGATCCTATAGGGTATAGCATGGCTGGAAGAATCCCAGAGCAGGATCCCCTAACATGGGCTCTTGCCCTGGTGTAAGAGCAGTGATGAGTAAACTTCACAACTCTAGAGATGTTCAAGCAGGAGGAGCAACTGTTCTCAGCTGAGGTGAAAGTTTTGCTCGTAGTCCACCATAGGTCACAGGTTTGCACTGGACGAATGATCCACTTTGCACACATCTCCCCATAGTTCATAGCATTTCCACTAGCCATTGCTGTGAGAGGGGCATTATGTGCTGTCATGTTTAATGGTATTATTTTTCTACAAACCAAATTTTTAGCTCTGTTAAAACAGCCACATGTTACAGACCCTGAAACCTTTTCATTCTGTGAGACGCTAAAAGTGTTCTAGTGGAACTTCCTCATCCTGTGACATGATTCCTTCCCAAGCACTCTCTCTGTCCTTTGGATTTAAAAGAGTAATAATAAAAATATACTGCCCTCAATTTGTAAAGCTATTAAGAAGGGTTCCCAGATTTCAACCTAGAGAAGAGAAAACATAAGTCAAGAGTACAGAAGTCAGAGAATTGTGTAGCTCTGATTGCAGGCAGTTTATCTCAATGGTGTAGTGCAAACAACCCAGCTTTTGGAATCAGGCAGACAGAACTCTGAGTATTTAGCTGTCTGATCTTGAACAATCCATTCAGCCTCTTTGAGCCTCGGTTTTTCATGAGTTCAATCAAGTTAGTTAACAAACACTCATCAAGCTTTCACTACATGCCAGGCTGTGTGTCAGACATTGAGTATATAGCAGTGAATGAGACAGGTCCCCAAAGCAGGTATTCAATGTTAGTTCCCTTCCACTTCCCTTCAAATATATCATTATTATATGTACTCTGACAAAGTTGAAAATAAGACAGATGGCTACAGACAATTTTGTACATACAAGAATTTTGTTGGGGGCCTAGACACCTGAAAAAGGGGGTATTTTTTTCAGCATTAGGTCTCGTGCACCTTAGATCATCTTGTCTTGATCTTGATTTAAATTCATGTAACTATGGGTTTCTATTTATGGTCAACAATGAATCCTTATTTTTAGTGGAGGTGAAGAAATTATACAGATACTGCCTCACTGATCCTTTCAGACCACTTGTGAAGTGAATGAGAACAGGTATTATTATTAAATCCATTTTACAGATGAGGAAGCTGATGCAAGCCGATTCTTCTGTGCCTCTTTTGTCCCCAGTCCCAGCCTGCACAGAAGCAGCACTCAGTGGTGCTGTTTACACGTTGACTGTTCCGGCAACTCAGAAAGGAGAGGTAACCCAAGAGTTAGCAAAAAGAGAATGATTTGGGATTGCACTGTGGCCGCTCAGTTTTTGCCTTCTCCCTCCTCTAGGTGGGTGAGACATGGGTGACTGGAGCTTCCTGGGGAACATCTTGGAGGAGGTGAATGAGCACTCCACGGTCATCGGCAGGGTCTGGCTCACCGTGCTCTTCATCTTCCGGATCCTCATCCTGGGGACCGCCGCAGAGTTCGTGTGGGGGGACGAGCAGTCTGACTTCGTGTGCAACACGCAGCAGCCAGGTTGCGAGAACGTCTGCTACGATGAGGCCTTCCCCATCTCCCACATCCGCCTCTGGGTGCTGCAGATCATCTTCGTCTCCACCCCGTCCCTCGTGTACGTGGGCCACGCGGTGCACTACGTGCGCATGGAGGAGAAGCGCAAGGACCGCGAGGCGGAGGAGCTGGGCCAACAGGCCGGCGGCGACGGCGGCGAGAGGGGCCCGCTCAACCCTGACCAGGGCAGCATCAAGAAGAGCAGCAGCAGCAGCAAAGGCACCAAGAAGTTCCGGCTGGAGGGGACCCTGCTGAGGACCTACATCTGCCACATCATCTTCAAGACCCTCTTCGAAGTGGGCTTCATCGTGGGCCACTACTTCCTGTACGGCTTCCGCATCCTGCCGCTGTATCGCTGCAGCCGCTGGCCCTGCCCCAACGTGGTGGACTGCTTCGTGTCGCGGCCCACTGAGAAGACCGTCTTCATCCTCTTCATGCTGTCTGTGGCCTCTGTGTCCCTCTTCCTCAATGTCATGGAGATGAGCCACCTGGGCCTGAAAGCGATCCGCTCTGCCTTCAAGAGGCCTGCGGAGCAGCCGCTGGGGGAGCTGCCCGAGAAATCCCTCCACTCCATTGCTGTCTCCTCCATCCAGAAAGCCAAGGGCTACCAGCTCCTAGAAGAAGAGAAAATCGTGTCCCACTATTTCCCTTTGTCTGAGGTTGGGATGGTGGAGACCAGCCCACTTTCTGCCAAGCCCTTCGGTCAGTTCGAGGAAAAGGTCAGCACAGGACCCCTAGGGGACCTGTCCCGGGGCTACCAAGAGACACTGCCTTCCTATGCTCAGGTGGGGGCACAGGAGGGGGAGGGGGAGGGGCAGCCCGTGGAGGAGGGTGCAGAGCCCGAGGTGGCAGAGAAGAGGCAGGAAGCGGAGAAGGTGACCGCGGAAGGGCAGGAGACCTCGGCAGTGCCAGAGGGGGAGAAAGTGGAGACCCCTGGAACGGGCAAGGAGGGTGAGAAAGAAGAGCTGCAGGCCGAGGTGGTGTTGAAGCAAAGGCTGCTAGCTGAGAAAACGCCTTCGCTCTGTCCAGAGCTCACAGCAGAGGACACCAGACCCTTGAGCAGGCTGAGCAAAGCCAGCAGCCGGGCCAGGTCAGACGATCTTACCGTATGAAGTGGTGCCAAAAAGAAAACACTCAGGCGTTTAATATAGGGCAAGATGAAAGGAAAAGGTGCCAACACGATTTGAGTCTTTTGTTCCCTCCCCTTCCTCCCACCCCTGGTCGGATAGGCACTGCATTGGAACAGTGAGTGCTATACAACTAGGAAACTGCCTTTCCCATACACAGTATAAGAGCTACCAAAATAAACCCATTGTCCCATCCAAGTTCCCCAGTCTCATATGGCTCCTTGTTCCTCCACGACAGCGGCTATGGGGGACTCTGATTTTGTCAGCAGTTCTCCATAGAAATCCTTCCAATCAGAAGTGTGGTTGCCTCATAGCCTTTTACCAGTCTTGTGTCGGGTTCATTAACTCAGCCAGACTCTATCTCCCCAGCACTTCCCTAGCAGATACTATGTGGCCATATGTCAGGAATCTCCGACTCGTTAGCCTACAGGATGCAGGCAGGTGACTTGAACTGGTGATGCAGGCCTACTCTAATGCAGTGGAGACAGGTGGGCTGTGAAAGTTGGAGAGCAGGGGCAGCTGCTGCTCGCTTGCAGCCAGTGAGTACCTTGCAGCGTTACCTGGCCACCTGATTTTTCAAGAGAAGCCAGAAATCCAAACTGTTCATTGAAATTTCCAAAAGTGTTAATATTGGCAGCTAAATTTTAAATACAACATATGGGCCAATTGAAATGTGTGTGAGCCAAATTTAACCTGTGGGGCACCAATTTGCCACAATGTCAGCTTACACTAATGAGCCCAGATTTCCTATGGAATTGGTCTTATTATTTATGGTCTCAACTTGTTTCTGTGGCTCCCAAACCTCATTGCACTGCTTTGGAGTATTTGGTTTAAATCGTCAGTCCAGGAGATGCCCAGAGTTCTCACGTGACCATTCTTTTGGGTCATGTAGCCCCTGGGTTCTGAAGCAATGATATGTTTGGTATTGGAATTCTGCCCTGGGTACTATCAGGGAAAGAGAACAAGATGCCAAAACCTCTCACTGTGAAATGAAAAGGCTTTGAGGCCTGGTTGCAGGTTTTTTCCCTGAAGCAAAAAAGGTCCTTTTCTTTACCCTCCTTTTCCAACATCAGGGCTCGGCCTAAAATCTACACCTCCTTTCATCTGGGACTGGAAGCAACCCCAGTTCTGAGCTGGCGGACACACCTGCTCACAGGCCTGCCATAAGGAGAGTCAGCACTCAGGCCTTGCTTAGGCACGAGATGTATACCAAAAGGGCCTTCAAAGCGGCACAGGGGGAGCCTCTCACAGAGTGGGTGCTCGAATAGCCAGGGTCCCAAAGTCTAGTCCCAGGCCAAGTTTCATCCCTGGAAGGGACATGAAGGCTAAAGTGAGCAAGAAGAATCTGGAAGATCTCCTGCTCTTGTATCCCCACAACCTGCCCACCTCAAACATACAGTCCAGTCAGGGAAAATCCTCAAGTACAAGTACACATTTCATACCAGGAGCAATTTTACCCAGAGCCAAGCAATTTCTAGAGCAGAGAGAGAAAGTGATAATGAAGATGGTTATCTAAACCAAAGTTATGCTTCATGGGCTGCAGTGCCAAAGATAAGATAGGAGGTGTAGAGACCAAGTTGATATGGCAAGGACCTGAACAGGAGACCACCAGGGTACCCAAAAGAGGTACCCAGAAAAACTGCCTCCATTCTATTAATATCTTCCCACCCCACCCCAGACCAGCACCATCCCAAAGTATGCAACTCTGTTTGCTGACCTCTGGTTACCACCTTCCTTTCAAGATATTCAATCTAGATGAGCCTTTCCAAAGTAAGCCTTCTCTAAAACCATTCCTCCCCCATGACAATATTCCCATTGGTTGGTGCCACATTCTAAAGCAAAGTGATCTAAAAATTAAATTCATTCTAAGGTATGATTGTTTGATAATTACTCCTGGGAAGATTTGCATTTAAAAGACAAAGGCTAAAATATATTTTACCTAGGTAACCTGAAGTGACAAACCTTCAGTGGAGGAATGTTGAATAGAAGAGATACTTATCTTATAGACGTGTGACTTTCTGGCTACTGCTTGATCTCACTATTCCACACAGTCCTTCTCCTGTATGATGAGAGAAGTAATAAAATCTCAGGCCTGAGAACCGGAGAATGCATTCTTGACCCCAATGGATGCACTATTGTGCCTACAGTTTCGCTCCTGAAGTCCCATTTTAGGAAGAGTCTTATGAATAGCTTGATCATTACCAGAATAAAATGTCTATCTCAACCAGGACCTAATACCAAAAAAAAGAAAAGTCCTAAGCAAAACTGGTGGTGTTATTTAGAACCAGTTGTAGAGCTGTAGGTGAGGGCTGCTGGTCTCCTTGTCTCGGCTGGTACATAAGCGTGTGAGTGAATGTCTTTCCTTGGCTGCAGCAGCATCCTGCTTCAGCGCTCAAACCTGCCTCTGCCCCACATTTTCCCTCCTAGACTTCCCCCCAAAAGAGGAAGCCTATTTAAGAAGAAACAGACACAGGCATCAAGGGACTGGGATTTTCTTTCCATTTCTGCCATTTAGTAGCTTTGTTATTATTGTCCCTTAAACCTCTGTGTACCTCACTTTTCTGTCTACAAACTAGAGATGGCATTTGCCACCTGTCTACCTCCAGGGGTGTCATAAAGATTAGTGAGTTGGCTGCCAAGCATGGAGCCTGCTGAATGGTGCCACTCCCTGAGAGATTCCTCCAACAGCGGTGAGACTGGGAAGAAAGGTGGGTGGTGGTTTCCATCTGTCCCTCCCAACCTGCCTTACAGTTACCTGGTGAGAGTTTTTCAATGTGGAATAGACACTCTGGGGATTAGTTTTCTCAGAAAAGACTCAAAACAGCATCTTAACCCCATGTGTTTATTAGGAACCTGAGGCTCTTTGACCTTAAGAAATGACTGGGGACAGATTGAGAATTACTTTCATCCTCTAGAATGTGAGGATAATGTGAGATCCATCTAGAATAAGATGCCCCAGCTTAAGCTACCACACAACTGCTGCCAGTTTCCACTCAGAAGCAGCTGTGTATCTGCAGCCCTTACTCTATACAGCTACGTCCCTCAGCATCTGTTTTGAGGAAAATAATTATGACCAATTCAGAATTATAATCCTCCTGGGCTCCATTAGGTCCAGCTTTAGTTCCTACTCCTAGTCAGTCGGTTCTTAGCTTAAACCCCTAGAGCACATGGACCTACCAATAAAAAGACGTGTTGGACAGCAGGACATCAAAAGTGCAGCTCCCTCCCGAGGAAAAGGGCTAATCACTTGATAGCAGTTATAACACCTCCATCAGGGGAGATCTGTGACACGGAGGGATAAAGTTACTCAAACTACAGTTAGAAAGTTTTGAGCCTGGCTGTGTAATCCCTGGTCTAGCATTTTGGGCATTATAAAAGGCCTATCTTCTTTTCACCATGACCTTGTCCCCTGCCGCACAGGTGAAGCATCCAACACAGCATTGTACAAATATTCCCGAAGGTCAATGTGACCTGGGGACCCACAAAGAACACTGGCATTCAGGTCAGGAGTGCTGGCTTCCCCTTACTGACTCCAGGGATACTAAGATGCCACTTACCTGCTCTATATGACAATTTTTTCTGCATTAATTGGGGATGATAAGTTCTGCCCCTTCTTCACAAGATGTTTTAAGTTTTTTTAAAAACTCATTAATCTGTAAATAAAAGGAAAGGAAAGAAGGCATTATCCAAATTTGTAAGTCCATATTGTAAAATGTATACTGAAGCAATGACAGTCATCACTTTCAAATGCTGCACAGATTGTTAACAAAAAGTGAGCCAATAAGTAAAACAAAGAAAGTGAATTGGGGCAGGGAGAGATGGTGAGCAGTCCTGAATTCCTAAGAATCATACTACCAAAAAAAGAACATCTTTAATCATGCAAGATTTAGTTGCTGAAAGTGGTGCTAAAGATACTCAGCATACTAGAGCTCATGTTTAGAGATGCATCAGTTCCTGAGACAGTTTCTGACTCATGGCAGAAGGGGGTCCATGGGTATTGACACAGCTGCATGCCGGAACTCTTCAGTCCAAGCCATGCAGAAGGCTGGGGGCAAGGCTAGTGCAAATCCCTGCTCCTCTCCAGTTCCTGAGAAGGGTCATTAGGAGTGCTCAGGGTAAGAATGAGCACACGACCCCAACAACATCTCCCAGCCCACTCCCTCAACCTCCTCCTCACTCCTTCCCCTGACCCTGAATTACACTTCTATGCATATTGTGTGCCATGATTGCACAACACAAGTTAGCAAAGTTTAGATGAAAAAGGTTTGCCTGGTTGGATGGAAAACTCTTCTGAGTGTAAATACAATCTGTAAAACGTAGTAAGTGTGTGCCTAGAAGTAAGTGTGTGATAGTGAAATAGGCCGGGAGACTTTCCCTTCTTGTAGTTAGTGTATTATAACTAAATATGTACTTGGGAAGGGAGGAGAAAAAGGAAACAAAATTCTAGGTTCAGCAGTTGGGTGAGAGGAAAGGAAAACTTCTATGAGAAACAATTCACTCTCCACTGCCGTAGACATTGCAGCTCCCAAAGCCAGGGAGAGGGTGGTATTCACCTCTGGAAGTGGCCACCAAATTGCAGTGGGACATACCACAGTCTCCAGCCCCACTGCTTTCTGGAAGTTCTCCACAACAGACAAAGAGAATTCTAGAAAAACTCATAAAGTTGCCTGAAGGCTCCACTGGAGATGGCTCCATTGCCTTTCTCTACAAATTTTTTCATCTGTGAAATGGAATAGTGAAGATGCAGCTAAGAAACACATTCATAACAAACTTCCTGGGGAAATCTCTGGCAAAAGAAGGAGGCACTCTTGGGGTGGTGGTCCTGTATTCTCCAACCCTCCGCATCCTTGTGTCGGAGCTAATAGTCGCACGTTGGACTGTTATAAAGCAAATAAAACTAACTTGACTTTTCATCATCTTTGTTTTTTCTTTTGACCTGTAAGCCAAGCTACACTGTAAAGAGACTGACTTAGTCTCTAGTTCATTTTCCTTTGGAGTT